AATCAGGTCTCAAGTTTTCCAAATTCAAAATGCAGGCCTTAAGTTTAAAAATGTAAAAATCAGGTATTCAATAATTAATTAAAAAAATTTTATTAATTAAATATATTAAAATCATAATTATATAATTCATGATCACATATACATGCTCATGAGTCACAACTTTTTTTTGGTCACATATGATTAAATTAATTGTCACATATTATTTCGAGATCACAAATCAAAAATTTTATATCACAATTTATTTCATTGATCATAGATCAAAAAATTATAGGTAGCTTTTTTTTTTTTTTTATTGGTCACACATTTTCAAATTTTTTGCTCACGAATTATTTTTTAATCGCAAATTATCGAATTTTAAAGTCACGTTTTAATAATTAGTCATAATGAACCAAATATTTGGTCACATGCACCAAAAAATCCCACCCCCGATCCTAATCCACCACCAATACTTGATCATAGACCAACCAAATAGTTGGTCACAAATAGTATCCACCGCTGCCGCCACCACTACAACAGCACCACCAACGCCGCTGCCAATAGATCCAATACATTGCCAACAAAAATATCACAACCACCACAGTTATTCCCACCATTGCCACCGCTGTCGCCACCACTACAACAGCACCACCAACGTCGCCACCACTAGATCCAATACATTGCTAACAAAAATATCACAACCACCACAGTCATTGCCACCACCGCCACTAACACCACCATCACCAAAGCACATAAGCAACACCACACACGTACCAACAGTCATCACCGCCAAAACAACACCACACACCACTAGTACCACCACCACCACCACCACCACAAAATAGTTGGCCACATACACCAAACACCTCACCCACGATCTGGATCCACTACTAACACTTGGTCACATATCAACCAAATAGTTGGTTACAAATATTATCCCACCCCACCACAACAACACCGCAACAACAGCCAACAAGAAGGAAAACGACCACCCTCACACAATTGCCGCATGTACCAAAAAAAAAAAAAAGGTCCACCACCACACCATAGCCTACATTGCACCACTAACAAAAAAACACAACGCATCGGCTGCCGCAGTACAACAAAAAACCAACACCATCGCCGCCTACACCACAACCACCAAAAATCACCCCTACCTTCACGCTGTCCCACCCCACAACTACCATCACCACTTCCACGACCACCACACCACCACGCAAACTCTCCACCGACAACTTCCGATGGTGGTTTTTGACCAATTATTTGGGGGAGGGTATGGATAGGTGGAGAGAGTGAGAGTTAGACGATGGAGAGTGAGGTTTCGTTTGATTCATGAAATGCAGTAATTGATTCATCAACCACGGTCGTTTTGCCTTGGATATGATTTTGGTTGGTGCAATTTGTTGATTGGATCTGTGGAGGGTCAATTGAAAGGGGGTCGAGCTGTTCGCGACACGTTCGCACTGCCCCGTCTTTTATTGCCATCTCAAGGCCAAATTGGGGAAGACGCATGTGCTCAATGGATGCGCCAAGAGGAGTAGGTGCCTGAGGTGGTAGTCCGAGGTCATAGGTCCCACCATCGGTGCCAGAATCATCAACAAAAAGTTGCGCAGCTACCAATCGTGTGAATGGGGCTTGCAGATTTTGATGGGGATGGTTATTTGTTGATTGGCGACCATGGTTAGGTAATCTTGAGGAGAGGAATCGGCAAATATATTGGGCATGCCGTTAGTTGTTGTCGGTATCGGTCGACGCTGCCATTCAAAGCAGCGCCGACGTCGCCGGTTGACGCAACTCCTTTATTGTCGGTCGTCGACGTTCGAAGAGAGAGAGGGAGAGAAAAGAAGAGAGAGAAGGGAGCGATGTCGAGAGAAGAGTGAAAATCGATTGAAGAAGAGAGAAGGAAGAGTGAAAAATTAGGGTTTGGGTGGATGAAGTTAATTTAATTTTAAAAAAATAGTTTAAATTGATACTTGATTTTTGACTCTAATTTTAAGAAAAAGTTTAAATTGATACCTGATTTTTGACTCTTTTTTTCATCAAATCTGATTTTGTGAAATGTGATATTTAAATACCTGGATTTGTGTAATTTCCATATGTATAATCCATTGGACTATTTTTTTTTTTTCACTTTTAATAAATTATTCAACATATATATTATTCCGATAAAATAAACCTGTCTGATAAAGTAATTATTCAATCAAGATTTACAAATATCTGTCAAGGTTTACCTACAGAAAATTTCCAGTCTTAATTTATGTCCTAAGCAAACTGAGAATCCCAGAAAATGCCCAAATAATCTTTTATATAAAAAGATTACGCTGTTAAAAGCAGAATTGCTTAGTTCAACGTCTACGATGGATTCCCAGCAAAAAAGGAAAAGGAAAAGTTCCTACAGTTATTCTGATCACTCGAAAACTAAAAATGCTCTTTTTTAAAGTTATAGATAACAAATTATTCTTCTATACATTCATTAGGACAACAACAATGCAAGCAAAATAATTTGGCACATCTATATCCAGTAAACAACTATTTCTAAAAGAAGATACATATGAAGAGAAGTAAAGCCGAGGACAAAGGAAAAAACCAAATCCATAGAGAAAGAATTAACCACCGGCAAAAATGGAGTCTAGCCCTGTAAAAAGATAGGTTTTAGCGGGTGAAGCCAGAGTTGGATGCTTAAGTTATACTCCATTAGCTATTTGAGCTATTAATCCCGCTGTCTGACTTACAATTATATCTTTATATCTAGAAAGTACTTCACAGAAATGGAAAATGATTCAAGCCATTGACCCAAAATTTATTGGGCTACAAAACAATGATCCCAATCAAAAAACAAACAAAATTTCATCATCTTGAACCAGAATTTTAATTGAAAGACTAGAAAAGTGGAAAATGACTAAAGTGAAGAAATCAATCAGTTATTCATCAACGTTTCATCTTTTCAACGACAGGAATAAAAATGGAGATATATCTCGGAGAATAATTCGTTTATTTGCACCAAGCTATTGAAGGCTCATTCTAACCATAATAACAAAGCATTTTATGATTCCCCATCCCTCTAACCTGTAAAGACACGAATCTAAGCACAAACCGCTAATTCATTCGTTCTGTCCATTTTGGTAGAGCCTGCACAATTTGTACCAACATTCAACTTGAGTCTCTCGTGAGGCAGAGACTTAGATTTCAAATCTTGGAGGATGCAATAGAAAGTCGGGAGGGGTAAGATAGGTAATAGCAATCCAACAAGTTAACGCACCACTAAATTGCAAAACAACGTTAACAAATGAACAAACTATAGCAATCCAAACGGATTCATTTGGACCTAACTTGCCTTGCCTCTCTATTTCTAGCAAGTAAAATCAGGAAGAAGATATGAAAAGCTACTACACATCTCCATGAAAACTAAACATAAATACTTAAAGATTAACCATTTTGTTCCAATCAAGGTTACATATTTTTTAACCTAGCTAATAATTAGACTGTGTTGTGATTTAATCAAATGGTTCAAAAAGAGGCACAAGAACAAGATGGGCACCTGATGAGACCATTCTCATTGCACGAAGTACAACTCTTAAAGCCACATTTCTCGCTGTAATACTTATGGCTTCCATTGCACTCTTGGCAAAGGATGAATCTGTACCCACCACAGGCCTTGCATACAAATGCGTCCGCTGGTAGGAGATCCTGCAAGTACTTTTTGAGCTCGCCGCTCTCGTGGAGCTGCCTCACCTCCTCAGCACCACCAATGTACCTGCCGCCGATGAAGACTTTGGGGAGTGTTAATTTGGATTTCTCAGATTCACCAAAGATCCTCTGCAGCTCCTTAATGTAACCCGAGTCCATAGAAACATCCCTTTCGTCAACAAACACATGGAAGGCACGCAGGATTGTTAGGACGGTCTTGCAGTCCTCGAATGTGTGGCGAACGACGCGCAAGCTCGTAAAGTACACCACTATAATATTCTCCGTCCTTGGGATCCTAATCACTGACTCCGATTTCACATCAGCGGCCACATTTTCCGGCAATGGAGCCGGAGCCGGAACCTGAACCTCATCCCCGTAAGGTTTGGACTCCGAAGGGTCGGGTCGTAAAGATAGGGTCCGCAGAAATAAATTGGAGCTGCGAACCCGATGGCAAACGGAGGGATTCCTGATGTATGGAGTAGGTGAATCAAGGGCAATGTCACCGTCACCAGCGCTGATTTTATTGTATCTGTAATTGCTGTCTTCTTCAGAGAGTAGAACCTGTATATCTTTGAAGGAAGAGCAAGCAAATTTTGGGGACGATGCGTTGTGAAATCGAATCCTTGATTTGCTTCGCCAAAGCCACATGGGTTCTGAGATTCAATCAATTTACACAACACCAGATCAGAAAAAAATTACAGAAAAATCGAAAAAATAGTTTGTGTGAATCTTGAATTGTTTAAGAAAACTGGTAGATTTGGAGGTAGAAAGGAAGAGGCTGAAAAGGCAGAAAGGGTTTGGCGGTGGCCCGTTTGAGTTTGGCGGGTGGGCGTGGGGTGTTGCTAAAGGTTCGGCTTTTGTTTTTTGACCTTTTTTATATTGGAGGGGTTGAGAAAAGATAAAAGAGTAGATTTTGGTTGGTTTAGGGAGTGGATAATTTTTCTTTTATGGACCGTCAACATTTGTCCAAAAATGTGTATATTGTATCCAAATAAATAACTTTGTTTTCATATAAAAAAACTTAGAAATAATATTGAATCATAGTTACGAAATGCATTACGATTAATGATGAAAATCGATCTGATTAATTGGTTCAACTAGAAAAATCGAGAATAAGTTCAAAAATTGGTTCGGGCATAGGTAAAAAAAATCACATAATTCAAAACCGTTTGCATAAAAAATCAGTGAATTTAATTGCAAAATTCGGTCATTTCCGAGTTGAATTCTAATATTTTTATTTTTATTTTTATTTTTATTTTTCAGGCTTTTTAATTAAGTGATTCGACCATGTTTAACCATTTAACACTTGATCATTTATCTCTTTCAAATCAATGTCCACACTAATTTTCAAAATATCGGCACTAAATGAAGGTAGATAGGAAAAAAAAAACCTAAACAATTCCTTTGTTCCCAATATATAGGGCACAAACCAAACATAAATTAAATTTTTTGAATTCTTCATTAAAATAATCTAATTTTTATTGCAAATAATAAGCAGGGAAACAAATGATTAAGGGCGTGTTCGGTAGAGATTAAAATCGGATTAAAATTGAAAAATTGACAGTTATTGTTGACTTTTATTAAACGAATGAAACCCAATAAAAATTATATTTTCAATTTTAATTAGATTTTAATCAATCCCAAACATGCTCTAAATGACTTTTACCTCTGAACTTTCTTAATAATCAATTATCAATTATGTGAAATTTGTGTGGTCAAATTTGGTTATCTAAATTTAAGAGATGAGATGAGATG